TACCAAAATTCTCCACAGAAATAGCAAAAAATGTCCGCAGATTCCGTCTGGCCCTGGTTATGAGTCCATTCAGCATGATATTGGGAAAACTGGGACATCTGATCACCCTTATGGGTAACTAAAACAGGGCTATTCAATATTCTGCCACTCCGAGCCCGAGTTTAGCTCCGGCGTCACTGTTTGCACTGTTTTGAACAGCAGCGAACCGAAAGGATTACTTACATTATCAACGAGAGAAAGCATAATGTAAGGAGGCGTTTCCGGCGTCATAGCGCAAATTAATTTATTATTATTATTTTTTTAACACTTTTATTGTTTCAGAAAGGTGTGATACATTCATACTGTATTAGAACTCCCGCCCCATCCCGACGTTCAAAAAAAAAATTTAAAAATTAAAAAAAGAAAAAAGAAAGGAATAGAATAAAAAAAAAGCATTCTCATGTGAGGAAAGTAATACAAAAACAAATAAATAGAAAATAAAGATTAACTAAAATAAACTTAAAGATAAAAATAAAAAGGGCAATTTTGTTAAAAATTAAAAATATATAAAAAATAAATACCATTAAAACATTGACATTTCAACATATACATTCCAGTGAAAGTATATTAAAGTTAGTCATTACAAACACAGTGTATTTTAACAGTCACATTGTTTGGGATTACTAAACAGTCAGTCCACTGTTATTAAATAATTAAGGAAGAAGTCCCAAATCCTGTAGAATATGTGCATTTTTTGTTTGATTGATTAAGTCAACCTTTCCATTGCTATACAGGAAGACATTTCCTTAATCCAGAGTGACAAAGATGGAGCATGAGTACTTTTCCAGTGAATGGCAATCAGGCGCTTCGCATTTAATAGACACAGATTTATAAACCGCAAATTAATTATTGAGCCAATCCAGAGCCCCCTTCTTCCGAGGGCCCTGGTGCTTCAGCCCCACCTAGCACTTATGTTAATCCAGCCCTGGTTGTGTGTTGGTAATCTGTGGTGTTGGAAGCTTTGTGTTTGTGTTTTGTATCTGTGATATTTGATGATGTTTAGTAACATTTTGTGAGGCCAAAGATGTATTTGTACATATGTGGACAATAAAGACTTCAAATCTAATATTAATAAAACTAATAATATTGACCTTAAAATGGTTTAAAACAATTAAAAAATGCTTTTATTCTAGCCGAAATAAAACAAATAAGACTTTCTTCAGGAGAAAAAATATTAGAGGAAATACTGTGAAAATTTCCTGAATCTGTTCAACATCATTTGGAAAATACCTGAAGTTCACAGCAGGGCGAATAATTCTGACTTCAACTGTAAGTGTTGTGCAGCTAATGCTGAAGCAGTAATAATTGATCTTGCCTGCAGAAGTTATGACTGCCGATGCCCATCTCTCTGGCATCAGATCTCCACGCGTTGTAGATTTTATGAGAAACAGCGGGTGAATCCCACGGCAGACACTTCAGACCGCTGCGTGTGATGGCTTTCGTCCCTCTGTAGGTCTGACCTGATCTCTGAGCACACTCCAGATACGGGTCTGACAGAACAATACAAAATACACAACATTACACACATCAATTCAACATGCATGTCTGTGTCTGCATTGTAAAATATGCAGGGTTCCACATGATTCCCTAATGTTGTCCCAACACAAATCGATGATGTTAACTTGATTTATTGTATAATTTTAAGTTTGAACATGAAACGATTAAGTTGTCCCCTAAAAAACTAAAAAATTGTGTCGATTCAGATTCAAGTAGTTTGAATAAGCAGCAAAACCTTATTATAAAGATATTGCACTTATCTAAAACTATTGGTCTGACAATTTTAAATGCACAATAAATGAAAACCTAAACAAAACACAAGTCACTAAAAAACGAACTGAAATAAAATAATCTATTTTTAATATTATTAAAAAAGAATAATAAAAAAATATATATTATGTGGCGTGAAATTTTTTTTTTAAAAAATCCCACTTTTACAGACAAACACATCAGTCGAGAGCATGACTATTATATACAAAAGCATATTTTCTGCATAAACATATGTAGTATGATCATCATTATGATGAAGATGGTCTGAATTCTTTATAATTTTTACTTTTATTTGCTGCATTTGTATGGTTTTGCATTCAGTGTCTGTTCACAACATAAACAAATTGCTCTGAGCACATTCCAGAGACACGGTTCTGATGCAACAATAGACAACATTACACACACTTACTGTTTCGACATGCATGTCTGCCTATGCGCAGTAAAAAATGCAGGGTTCCACACAATTCCTTTATGTTGTTCCAATACAAATCGATTATGTTAACTTAATTGATTTTAAAATTTGAAGTTTGAACATGAAACGATTAAGTTGTCCCCTAAAAAACTCAAAAATTGTGTCGATTCAGCTCATTTTAAATAAGTAGCTTGAACGAGCAGCAAAACCTTATCATAAAGATATTGCACTTCACTAAAACTATTGGTCTGTCAATTTTAAATGCAGAAAAAATGAAAACCTAAACAGTAAAAGTCACTAAAAATGAACTTAAATAAAATAATACATTTTTATTAGTATTAAAAAAATTATTTAAAAATTATGTGGCGTGGGAAAAAAAAAAAAAAAAAATCACACTTTTACAGACGAACACATCAGTCGAGAGCATGATCATTATATACAAAAGCATATTTTCTGCATAAACATATGTAGTATGATCATCATTATGATGAAGATGGTCTGAATTCTTTATAATTTTTACTTTCATTTGCTGCATTTGTATGGTTTTGCATTCAGTGTCTGTTCACAACACAAACAAATTGCTCTGAGCACATTCCAGAGACACGGTTCTGATGCAACAATAGACAACATTACACACACTTACTGTTTCGACATGCATGTCTGCCTATGCGCAGTAAAAAATGCAGGGTTCCACACAATTCCTTCATGTTGTTCCAATACAAATCGATTATGTTAACTTAATTGATTTTAAAATTTGAAGTTTGAACATGAAACGATTAAGTTGTCCCCTAAAAAACTCAAAAATTGTGTCGATTCAGCTCATTTTAAATAAGTAGCTTGAACGAGCAGCAAAACCTTATCATAAAGATATTGCACTTCACTAAAACTATTGGTCTGTCAATTTTAAATGCAGAAAAAATGAAAACCTAAACAGTAAAAGTCACTAAAAATGAACTTAAATAAAATAATACATTTTTATTAGTATTAAAAAAATTATTTAAAAATTATGTGGCGTGGGAAAAAAAAAAAAAAAATCACACTTTTACAGACGAACACATCAGTCGAGAGCATGATCATTATATACAAAAGCATATTTTCTGCATAAACATATGTAGTATGATCATCATTATGATGAAGATGGTCTGAATTCTTTATAATTTTTACTTTCATTTGCTGCATTTGTATGGTTTTGCATTCAGTGTCTGTTCACAACACAAACAAATTGCTCTGAGCACATTCCAGAGACACGGTTCTGATGCAACAATAGACAACATTACACACACTTACTGTTTCGACATGCATGTCTGCCTATGCGCAGTAAAAAATGCAGGGTTCCACACAATTCCTTTATGTTGTTCCAATACAAATCGATTATGTTAACTTAATTGATTTTAAAATTTGAAGTTTGAACATGAAACGATTAAGTTGTCCCCTAAAAAACTCAAAAATTGTGTCGATTCAGCTCATTTTAAATAAGTAGCTTGAACGAGCAGCAAAACCTTATCATAAAGATATTGCACTTCACTAAAACTATTGGTCTGTCAATTTTAAATGCAGAAAAAATGAAAACCTAAACATTAAAAGTCACTAAAAACGAACTTAAATAATATAAAAAAATTTTATTAGTATTAAAAAAATTATTTAAAAATTATGTGGCGTGAAAAAAAAAAAAAAAAAAAAATCACACTTTTACAGACAAACACATCAGTCGAGAGCATGATCATTATATACAAAAGCATATTTTCTGCATAAACATATGTAGTATGATCATCATTATGTTGAAGATGGTTTGAATTCTTCATAATATTTACTTTTATTTGTTGCATTTGTATGGTTTGGAAGTCAATATTCATTCATTTTCATTTTCTTTTCGGCTTAGTCCTTTTATTAATCCGGGGTCGCCACAGCAAATTAAACCTTAACGTATCCAGCAAGTGTTTTACGCAGCGGATGCCCTTTCTGCTGCAACCCAACACTGGGAAACACCCATACACACTTACATTCCCACTCATACACTATGGACAATTTAGTTTATTCAATTTACCTATACCATATGTCTTTGGACTAGTGGGGGGGCCCGGAGCACCTGGAGGAAACCCACGCCAACAGGGAGAACATGCAAACTCCACACAGAGATTTTTTCGCACAAGACAAAAATGTTAGCTATGTAAACACTAAAGACCCGTCCAAACACATGAGCTATAGGGGAATTGAATAAACTAAAGTGGCCTTAGCGTATGAGTGTGTGTGTGAAAGAGTGTACGTGGGTGTTTCCCAGTGTTAGGTTGCATCCGCTGCATAGAACATATGCTGGATGCACTGTAAAAAATGCAGGGCTCCACACAATTCATTCATGTTGTCCCGACACAAATCGATTAGGTTAACTTTAGGTTGACACTTTTCACAAATTTATGTGGGTTGGACATAAAAAAGTTAAGTTGTAGCAATGAAATCTGAATAATTGTGTTGTTTTAGCTCATTTTAAATAAGTATTTTGAACAAGCAGCAAAAATCTTTAAAAATAAATTTTTTTGTCGGTTGTCGGTTCATTCTGCTGTGGCAACCCCAGATTAATAAAGAGACTAAGCCGAAAATAAAATAAATGAATGAATGATTAACTTATTAAAATAAGTTAAAGCAACGTTAAAATATTTGTTGAGCGTCATTACATTTTAACAGCGCTATCATCTATTATTAAGAGTTTTGCACAAGACTAAAACGTTAGCTATGTAAACACTAAACGTGTTGTGTTCACTCGGATTATCTACAAGTACTGCAAGTTAAACTGAATCGAAATGTATAAAAACTAAGAAATGTGGAGACACGGTGGCTCAGTGGTTAGCACTGTCGCCTCACAGCAAGAAGGTCGCTGGTTCGAGTCCTGGCTGGGTCAGTTGGCATTTCTGTGTGGAGTTTGCATGTTCTCCCCGTGTTGGCGTCCAAACACATTTGCTATAAATTGGCAGTAGTGTATGAGTGAGTGTGTGTGTGAATGTGAGAGTGTATGGCTGTTTCCCAGTGCAGGGTTGCAGCTGGAAGGGTATCCGCTGTGTAAAACATACGTTGGAGTAGTTGGCGGTTCATTCCGCTGTGGCGACCCCTGATGAATGAAGAGACTAAGCTAAAGGAAAATAAATGAATAGAAATGTGTGTGTGTGTGTGCGTGCATACCTATTACACATGTCGGTAAAGAGCAAAACTCCCATGAGATCTGAGCCTTTTTATATACATAACACCAAGGTTTAGAGTCTCCGTCTGGATTCCTGATCAATAAAACACAAAGCAAATTATTCATATAATCTTAAATAAGCATTATAATAATGGTCACAGCATTAACTACAGGCTTATTTCCTGCCTATTATCAAGATGTTAATTGTTTATTAGCACTTATTAAGTAAGATGTTGAAAATATGATCCCCAGTATTGTGCATCCCTAACACACATATCAATGTTTGGTCAGTAATGCCCCATTCACACGGGGCGTCTGCATTGTGGATCCGTCGGCGCCGCTTCAGAGGCGTTGCTCACTGTAGAAGTTGGGACTAACTCAACTTTTCAAGCGTTGTCGGAAGCGTCAACCAATCAGATTGCTGTATGCAAATACACCAGCTAGACATTGGCCTATTGCTGACTGAATTTCATTGGCTGACGCTTCTATGACGATCGCTTCAGCCCCAACTTCAGACACGCCTTCAGTCACGCATTGGCGCTGAAGCCCCGTGTAAATGGGGCGTAAGTGCATGCATTAAGAATACAGCGTGAGCTCCAGCTCCAGCACCTGCAGTAGTTGTGGTTCCCCAGACCCAGTGTGCTCGCCTCTGGTCTCCTCGCAGTGAACTTCTTCCCTCGCAGAGAGCTGGAGTTCCAGTTAATACACTCCATTCCTGACGAACTGACGCTCCACGAGCCTCGATATCCCAACCCCTGACCTCTGGAGCATCTCTCAAGAGTATCTAACAGAAGCACAGACTCTCATTCATATGCATGTACAGTCAAGACACATACTGTTCAAACCCATGGCAAACTCTGACCTAAAGCACACATCTCCCAAAACATAACAAGATCATCGCATCATTGTGGATAAAAAATATATTTCTCAGCTTTTATTTGCATTTAAAAAACATCTTAAAGTCAGAATTTGCCAGAGGTATATACAGCGTGAATGGATTGGGGTTTGACTGTAAATGTAGCAGACAGAAGATGCAAGCCTGTGCAGTCATGATGATGCGGAATGTGAAGACAAATGAACAACAGGAGATCAATACATGCAGCTCTTTGCTGAATTCAAAGCACTGCAGTAAACTGGAGAGGAAATACTGTGTAGAGATGCGACATGTGTTGCAGTTGGTGCAGGTGTCTGTTTGTAGGATTTTAGTGAGCTCAATTTAGCAGCTAGCAACTCCAAAGATTGTGCTGGTTTGTTCGTAAAGATACCAGTAGAGAAAATATATCAGATGATCAAATTACAGAATTAAATTGCTGCACAAGATCAATGTGTTCATAATACATATTCTTATTAAAACATGCTTCGGTTAATTTATCTAAAAAAATTATTTCAAATTGAGACTGACTGCAACTAATAATGGTAACATTATCTCTAAGCTACTTAAAGGACTATCTTACAAGTAATTTACACTGAACTTACAGTACTAGCAATTAACAACACAAAAAAAGCAATAGGTTATGCTAACTGAATTTTTGACTACATTGCTGGAAAAAAATAAAGCTATACTAGTAAAAAATACAATAGAAATAAGTTTAAAATACTGGCAACTACTTATATTAACATTACTACTATTTATCAGTATCAGAAATAATAAACAGGGTATATGCCGAGCTAGTGCTGTTCCCATGCTGATACACTTCCGGTGACCTGTTATTGTGAACTTTTTTCCATTTTATACGGTTCCTTATACAGCATCGATGTTGTAATGTCATTAAAATACATTCAGTTAAATAAACTTTAGCATTTATTTAGTTACTCAAGCGTAAAACGAGACAAAAAGCCGTTTACTTGCACGCGCCTGTCAGAATCGGCAGACTAACGCAGAAGCTCCATTGAATACACTGGGGTAAAATAAATGCTCATATTATAAAGATATGGCGGGGGAAATGTAATTTAATGCAGTGTTTCTTGTACAATCTGAGACCCACTTTAAATCGAATATCACTCAGCTAATGGAGATCGCTGATTTTTAAAGAAAACAGACCTTAAACGCACCGGATTTTGCATTGGCATTCAGTTCGCCGGAAGCGCTTAATCCTGGTTAATGGCAAAATAAAAGTCCTATTAGCATGCTTCCGCATATACCCCATTATACAATATTTTACTGTAATCTATCAATACTGAACTATAGTGACTTTTATTCAGCAACAAACATTATTCAGTCCCAGGACTTTGGTTTTGAGATCCAAAAAAATCAACAAGATTTTTAATAACTCACTAAATCACCTGATTTTTGTGTATTTTGTCTATTATACAATTTTTACTGTGATTAACAATAACAAAAAATAGTACATTTTACTCAAAACTAACAATATTCAGCCCTTCTAGGTTCTTGAAGTAAAAAAAAATAAACATTTTACAATATTTTTCAGTATTTTGTCTAATATACAATATTTTACAGTAATAACAACAGCAGAAAAATAGCCACTACTAAGAAATACTAGATTTGACTAACCACATGACCAACTAACACTATTAAAAACAGTAAGTTAACCTAGCTATACTGAACAGCTCTAAACATATTGATGAACAGCAGTATTAAAGGGCACCTATTACGCAAAAATCCCTTTTATAAGGGGATAAATACAGTTGTGTCGGCAGTGTGTGATTATAAGCAGTTATAAGCAATGGTAAACATGTGTTAACTCTACTTTATTATAATCGGACTTGATAATTACAGAAACACTTTGATTGACATTCTTCTTTTGTACGTGTCATCAGAGGGCAAAAGCCACGCCCACTAGTGACCATCTCTCTCATTAGCATAAACAGCAGCCCTGAGTGAGAAGCAGCCATCTGTCCATTAACCATTATGCTGTGTTAACAGCAGCAGGGAAGGCACATCAAGTAAGAGTGATTTACATGTTAAGTCAATGCAAACGCGTGAATAGACATCCAGTGGCGCGATATGCGTGAATGTCGTGGCACGAATGATGTGAATTGCGCGAATGACGCGATACGCGCAAATGGTGCGGTGCAAATGGCGCATCGAGAATTGAGCATTTAGCTTGAATTGAGCAAATAGCTCAAGTTCAAAAATCTGAACTTAAGCGGACATTCGCGCCACGTTAACCAATCAAGAGTGTGCTCTTGTGGGGGCGTGATTGTGACGTACGCCTGTTGTTGGTGTCCCAGGGGAACAGTGCATCAAACTGGGCTTGACTCAGTCAGAAGCACCGCAGAAAGCCTCCATCATCCAGGAATAGTTTCTGGAGGAGTTCATGAGCTCACAGAGCTGGATGCAGATCTGAACAGATCTAGTGGGCTCAGACACAACCCTAAACGTATTGACGCTGTTTTTCAGCCTTAATAAAACATATTTTTCTTCTTAATAAAATCCATGTTAGCCATTTAGAAATGATGCTGGAGTCACCGGGCAGACAGATGGCCTGCCCATTACGTGAATCCTCGTCTGTTCTGAAGTGAATTTGACGCCCGAATGAAGCAAATTTGACGTGCAAACGAAGCGGGGTTTGATGCGCGAATGCAGCGAGTAACCTCAAGTGTTCACGCGGATATTTACGCGCGTATAGCGTGATTTATCCGCCCGTTCCGCGTCTAATGTGAACACAGCATAAGAGAGCTGCTGAAGATAACGTCAGCATAGACTAAGAGGATTATAGATGTGGAGTTTTAGATGAACATAGATTACCGTTTTCGGACACACTTCTGCACACATTTTCAGTTTTTCACACAGATATAACGTCAGTACTGTTTTTGAATCTGCTGTTGTGCTAAATTAAAATGGAATAAAATCCCTGTCTTAAATAATTCATGCTTAAATAAAATTCACACATTCGTAATTATAATATCGTACAGGAAAACGCAACGTACTCGTAGTTTTACGAGGGTACAATTCCAAAATCTGCGAACAGACACAGATACAACGTTTTCTTTGTCTGTTTGTATATGACTGATAAATTTACGAGTTTCACCATGGACACAAAGTCCTGATTACGAATACGAATCAAACAGCGACACTCCACTGTCAAAATTACGTCACCTATGTCACAGGCATTAATAAACAAGCGAGAGCCATCTATCACAACGACGTGCCTGCTGGGCACTCAGAGCCCTCACACACAGTATCAGGTAAAGCCTGGTTTATACTTCTGCGTCAAGAGACCGGCGTAACCCACGGCGCATGCAACGCGCGTAGCTGTGCATTTATACCTCTGCAAGCTGTCTCTGTTGGTCTGCATTGACAATTCCGAAATGCTAGTTGGCAGTGAGGTGTAAATGTTCCTCTGTGTCGAGTTTCTTCGCTGCTGTTTTGCTTTTCCTAAACACTTCCTGGATGTACAAGTGGCTCAAACTCGCTCATTTTGAGGCAGGAACTGGCGGACGTGCAACAACTTTAACTATGAGATAAACACAAAACAAAACTTTCCATCCGGAGCTCCTTCACGGGACTCCACACTTGTAAACAATCGCTCCATTGGGCTCGCGCCATTCGCATGGCTCTCGGTCTCGCCCAGACTCGTCAGCGCTACCAAGCCGACCAATCACAGAGCTTGCGCTAGGCGTCGTTGCGACGTGTAGTTACATTTTTTGAGAGGTGCACGTCAGCGACGCCGACGGCCACGGCGAAGGGCTATGCGTCAGCACTGTAGCATACGCCGACGTTTGACGCAGAAGTATAAATCAGCCTTAAGAGTTTTGTTATTGCCTTTTTGAGAAATGTCCGTCATGAGCTGTAATAAAGGTTGAGACTTAATGAGGTGCATTTTCGCTGTGTTTCTTGGACATTTTACAGATCAAAATTAAGAATGGGACGAGGATAGTGAGCTAGCACAATGTAAGTTAACATTACAGGCAGCAAGCGCAGTATCAGTATCTCTTGTTTATCAATGCCTGTGACAGCGATGACGTAATTTTGACAGTGGAGTGTCGCTGTTTGATTCGTATTCATAATCAGGACTTCGTGTCCATGGTGAAACTGTATTTCGTGTTTGTAAAGTACACCCATCGTAAATTTATCAGTCATATACAAGCAGACAAAGAAAATGTCGTATTTGTGTCTGTTCTAATCGCAGATTTTGTAATTGTACCCTCGTAAAATTATGAGTACGTTCCGTTTTCCTGTACGATTTTATAATTACGGATGTGTGAATTTTATTTACGCACAAAATATTTATGACAGTGATTTTATTCCATGAATTAAAGGGATCTGAAGTGCCAACCTATTTTAAAAAGAGCACAATCTCATTTGAATTTAAAGCGACAGTCTCCAAAATGCCACAATTACGATCAAAGCCTGAAATGGTCAGTTTCAGAGAGTTGGAAAACCGTATTTGTGTGGTATTTTGAGCTGAAACTTCACACACAAACACAAAAATCAGAGACTTATTTTACATCTTGTAGAAAGGGGCATAATTGGTCGCCTTTATTACTAATAAACATGTATTTTTCTACTCACTGATTTCACACTGTGTGCCTGTAAAGCCGGGCGGACACTGGCAGATGAAGTCACTGGAGTAAAGCGCTTCTTTACACGTCCCTCCATTATAACACTTAGACACGAAGCATTCTGCAAAACACAAGAAAAACAGAATTAAACGTGTGCATTCATAACCGGAGGACTGTTTATGAGCAAATCACATACTGACGTCAGACACCGCTGTGGTCAAACCAAATATTTAGGTAGTTGACCTAAAATAGTGTAAGCATAATTAATTGGGTGTAAAGCGGTTTGCATAATGATTATTACATCACTTTATTATTAGGAATAGAACAAGTTTTACAGCATGCGGATCAATAAATTGTGGTCAAATTTTAATGGTAGTAATACAGTGTTGTAACTCAAAATGACATGTGTTTTTAATTCCAGTAATTTTTCCGTGACATATTCAGAGCAAATATTCTGGATCTGCTTCAGAAAGTGGCTCATGAGGAGGAATGAAAAACAGGTGGTGCTGCACAAATGTGTTTCTACCAATAAACACACAATAAAGACACATATATATTAGACAGAGCTCAGCATACAGCAGGGAAAATAAGTATTGCATGCATTGTCATGTTTTTTTCCTGGGAGTAATATCTTTAAAGGAGCTGTTGACATGGAATTAAAGCAGATTTTGGTAAAAACTCAAACAATACAAACATAAAAAAAAATTCTGTGTACTAAAAGTGAAACGACAGAACGGGAAAGCACAGAACTACTGAAGCGTATCTAATACTTCATCTCAAAGGCTGTTTTGGTGCAGCTTAAAGACACCTCTATTATGGAGAATGAAGTCACATGCATTGTTCAGGTGTGAGTTTCTCACAGACATCAACAGAGTGTCAGAATCATAGGGCCCTATCATACACCCGGGGCAGTGTGGCGCAAGACGCGGCGCAATAGTCTTTTGGTAGTTTCAGCTTGGCGCAAGAGTCGTTTTGAGGCGTTGCGCTACGCTGTTTGACTAGCAAATGCATTAGCGCTCAATTGTGCGCATGTAGGCGTTGTGGTTCTGAAGGCGTTCTGAGGCGGACCGCTGGCGCGTTGCTATTTTGAGAAACTATAGTAGATTTTTCATTAGACCAAAACTAACCCGGTCTAAACTCCAGCGCAGAGTTGCGCCTCGCTTACACACTGCTTAATACGCACAAGAGAGCAATAGGCAAATATCTTTACATATGAAAAAATGTAAATATTAAGGATATATACAGGATATAATAAGAATAGATATAGGATATAAATATAAAGGATTAAATTATTACAAAACATATTATTTTCTAGCCTACATAAATATGAAAAATCACTGCTTTTATGTCTTCTACATCTCGGGAGGCTTTTTCAGTTCATTCATAACAATTTGCTTTTGTATAATGTTATTATTATTAGCAGTATTATTTATTATATCCATATTTATATTTGTTTTATTAAAAACAAGCTTAGATTTGCCCACCTGTCAGGTTTTAGACCATATGGGGCACAGCATGTGTATTAGGATATAACTCAGTATTTTGAGCACACTTGGTCATTATTGTTCATTTATTCGTTTGCTGGAAATTAGAACTGAATTTAGAAATAGTTTTGAAACGAATATTTGCGCTTAACAAACGCAATTAATTATTTATAGACTAATTGATGTCTGTGCGTAAAGGTTTCCCTATCCAAGAGCGAAAGTGAAAGTGATCCATTATCTCTCATTCTCACGCAGTAGATGCTCTGTTTAACAGTTTTCTGTTAAAAAACTCTTAACTGTCAACTGTTTGCTTGTGAAATGCTCATTTTTTCCACTTAGACTTACTTTGCGTCCTGTAAATAGCGAATGCGCTTATGGCGCAACGCAGCTGACTCTTAATGGGAATGGGAGATGAGACTCTAATTGGTTTATTCTCAAAACACACCTGTAACTCATTAAGAAAATAAACTCAACCCTTTTAGACCATGCGCCGCGGCACAAAGCGGATTTTCCAGTCCTTAAATTAGCAAAAATGCGTTCTGACACGCCCTGAAAGAGTTTGCGCCCTGCGTTTTGCGCATGGACCGTCAAAATAGAGCCCTTAATGGTTCTGTGGGTCTCGTCTATCAAATCTGACCTTTATTCTGTATTTTCTGTTAGATTCGGATCAGGTGATTGGCTGAGCTTGAGTTTCTTTCTCTGAAAGTATCTGAGTGTGTCCTTGGCTGTGTTTTGGATCATTGTCCTGCTGAAATGTGCACCCTGGTTTCATCTTCATCCTCCTGCTAATGTAGATGTTGGACTGAAGCAGCTGATGTTCATTTACACTGAGGAAGGGCAGAGGGTTGCTGAAGAACTACTAAGAGATTTCAGCTGCAGTCTTGGCCTTCACTGCAGAACTACACCTTCCTTTTTTTCATCTCTTCAATTTTTTTTGTCAGGGTTCTGCCACTCTGGTCTTGTAAATTCTTGTTTTGGGGGCAGAGTCTGGACACTAGCTCTGTCTTGTCCTGTTTCTGTCATTGTATCTGTCTCTGTGTGCGCGCGCCATCGTAGGTGTGTGAAAAGCATGCGCGCTCCCGCTTAATGCGGCTGTGAGGGCTCTGCGTGGCTCGGTCGCACACTTTTGTTCTAGTGTTTGTGTTTTGTTCTGTCAGCATCGCGCTGCTTCATTCTCGGCGCCTCCGTCTAGTTGGTTTCGTTTTTGGTTGGCGCTGAGATGAAGCATGCGCGTTGCATATGTGTGAGCGCACGCTAAGGTGCTTTTACCTATCGTGTGCTCGTGTCTTGCGTCATTTGTCAAGACACGTGGCTCTGTGTTTACATTGTGGTCACATGCTTTTGTTGTGTGCTTCAGTGTTGTGTTTGTCTTGTCATACAAATACGCGGTTAATGAGTTCTCTCTTTGGCTGCGTGTTCAGTCTTGTTTTATGTGAGAGCATGGCTTTATCTCGTTGTGTCATGTGCTCTCCTGTCTATTGTCAAGTAAAACCCTCCTTGTTAACCCATGATTACTTTCTCATGTTCACCTGTTTGTGTCAATTTATTTCTGTTTATAATCCCCTCATGTCTGCTGTCCTGTGCCAGTTCGTCATTGTATGTCATCATACATCATCATCATCATGATCCGTGCCAGCCCGCCCTGTCTAGTTTGGTTTGTTTATTTGTTTTGTTAATGTTTTTCCCCTCGGGATAGTTTGTTTTGCTGTTTTTGCCTTTTATTTTGTTTTATTCTAAATAAATTCCTTATTTACCCTGCACTTGGGTCCTTGCTCCATTTTCCCTTCACTGAACCGTGACACTTTTTCCCTGTGTCATTTCATTCTATTACGCAAAACTTTATTTGTAAACTAATTAGATTTGTTTTCTTTTCATATACGGATTTCTTTGGTTGTTACCAACATCTGATGAAAATTTAAAGCAAACGGCACCTTTAGAAATATGTTTTTTCTGAGAAAAATGGTAACGTGTTCAATAGTTATTTCCCCTATTGTAAATGAGTACAGATCTCTCTTTTACATTCATATTTTTAAAGGATCCTTTGCAATTACCCATTGGTGCATAAACATCAGATTAGACAGTACTGAAGCCAAAACTGGAACAAATTTAACAAAAAATCTTAAGATTACAGTAAAAAAAATGAGCAGTCACAAATTAATATGACTGGGAAAAATACTAAATAAAATTAACAAACAGGAGAAATCAAGAGAAACATAAAAAAAGATAAAATTTAGTTGTTATGTTTAATTAAGTAGTTAGGTTTAGTTGTATTTTGTAATTCTTCTTTTGCAATAACTCATTTTCATTTAAATGCATTATTTCTGAAGATGTTCTGTGACCAAACTTTTATTTTAATGAATGTATCTGTTTAATAAAAAATGTTTTGTTGGACATAAATGCAATAACAATTTTTTAATTATTTTTCAAATGAGCAATATCACATGAGTAGTAGTTCGATGTGGTTGTATATTGGCACTGGTGGGAGGCCTTGCGTTGTGGTGCCTTGGTGTCCCACCAGTGATGATATCCAGCCACATCGCACTGCTACTCATGAGATATTGCGTTTATACAACAATTTGACGGCATAATCGTGTATATAAAAAAGAAAATCAAACACAGACAGTCTAAACCAGTGGTTCTCAAACTTTTAAGCCAGCGACCCCTTACGTAAGATCGACAAGAACTCACGATCCCCCACTAGAAAAGCATATACAAGCAATAAAAATAACTTATTTTAAGCTGTTCACAGAACAGCAGAAACTGTTTCTCATTCACCAACGTCACTTTAGAGCGAGTGTTTGAAGGATTCGCTAGCGTAATGTCTAAAGTGATGACAAAACAGCTGATTTTGCTCACATTTTAAGACTAATGAAATGCCATCAGTCTAAAGAGATTTCCCAGTATTTCTCTTTTGCAATCGGAAGATCACAATAAATATCCCCGAAAAAGCCAAAGCAGCGCAAAACACTACCAGATTACTGTTGTGCTTGCTATAAGGAAAAACGCTAAACAACAATACAATTCACACCAATTATATGGTATAAATACAGCACTACAACATACAAAAGAGAGAGATCGAAAGACATTTACCAGTTTAATAATGATTTGATCAGCTGTAGTTAGAAATTACGCAGTTTTTATCTTCTAAGGACTTATTATGCGCTCTCTGTCTTAGGTCTGCTCAATGACAGGCTAACGGCCACCTACGCGCTGTCTCTGAGAAAATATAAATATTTAAAACAGGCACTATTCTTATAAATAAACTGCATAGTTGCAATCCAAACAACTACATTCTCGCCTGAAAAAGCCTCAAAACTACATTATGTTGTCCAACAGCTGCAATATTTGTCAAACTGTAGAGTGTCCTCTGCTTGTTGCTGTATGTGGGCGAAGTAATACACAAGGGTGAAGAGGCTGGACGTACAGCTTTCAGCCAATCAGATTAAAAAACCAGACAGAACTGCTGTATATATATATATATATATATATAAAAATTATATTCATCAAATATTTATTTTCAAATATTAATTTAATTACATTAAATAGTTTATTTGTAACGCATTACAGCAATCAGTGTTTGTAATAATCTTTATGGTAGATGTGTGTGTGTCTGTGTGTGTGTATGGTCACTTACTAGTCACAGGGACCTCATGACAGCGAGCTCTTCCTCTTAACGCACAGCGGCAGAACTCGACTTTCAGTCCTTTCCATCGCAGCCACGTCACACCAATGTCTCTGACCGCGGCCGAATTAGAGTCTACACACGCTTCTGACACACAGACAGACACACACAATTAAATGAACACATAATGATTGTAATCATGTACAGATGCAGATTAAATTTTACGTCTATGAGATGGATGTCATCTGCTGTAAGTGGGCGGAGCTAAAGATTTCATTTGCTGCATTTTATCCGCTGTGATTGGTGGAATTACTTTGAATGTAAACTACATGTTGCCGTTTAACAAAAATGCAGAAAGCAGAAAGCACACAAGATAAATGTTGTATTTCATACACGTCATTAGCACAGGAACTACAGCGGAAATAATATAAGCAGTATATGAGAGAGTTTTCATATATAGCCAGACAATAAAATAAATAAAGAAGGAAGGAAACAAGCATGGTCTGAATAGATCTCACCTCTATAATTGCGAGTTCCTCTTTTTTGTCTGTCATGCAGCTCCTATCAGAGACGCAGAATGTTAGTCATACATTAATAATCAGACTCACTGATATATATCTCTCACACGCACACACACACGCACACACACTTACTGTGGGATCTGCAGCACAGCTCAGAGCAGACAGAAGCAGCAGCAGGTTCAGTAATAAATTCATGCTCTCCTGCAGATCTCTGTATTCTCCTGCAAAAAACAAACAAGCACTCATGCATTATGTTATTGATCATAGGACTTTTTGTAAAGCATAATGTACTATGGATGTCAATGGCTGTTTGTTCTCCAACATTTTTCAGAATATCTTATTTTATGCTAAACAGAAGAAAGAAACTCACTCTGAATGGATCATTTGAATCTGTAAATCATTTACTGACATTAAACAGATAACATGAATCAGTAAATCAATTATTGTGGACTCACTCTAAATCAATTACTGAACTCTCACTGGAGACTTGCTCTGATTTAATCGTGCAAATCATTTACAAAAAACTCACTCTAAATAGATAAAAAAAATCATTTACTGAAGACTCACTCTAAATGGAAAAAAAAATGAATCAGTGAATCAGTTATTGTAGATTCCCTCTAAATGTAAAATTTGAATCTGTGAATCAGTTATTGTAGACTCTCTCTAAATGAATAATTTGAATCAGTGAATCAGTTATTGTAGACTCTCTCTAAATGAAAAATTTGAATCAGTGAATCAGTTATTGTAGACTCTCTCTAAATGAATAATTTGAATCAGTGATTCAGTTATTGTAGACTCTCTCTAAATGTAAAATTTGAATCAGTGAATCATTCATTGTAGACTCACTCTGAATGTAAAATTTTAATCAGTGAATCAGTTATTGTAGACCCTGAATTAATCATTTGAATCAGTGAATCAGTTATTGTATACTCTGAATGAATAAATTGAATCAGTGAATCTGTTATTGTAGACTCGGAATGAATAACTTGAATCAGTGAATCAGTTATTATAGACTCACTCTAAATGATTAATTTGAATCGGTGAATCATTTATTGAAGACTCATTCTGAATGGAAAAGTTGAATCAGTAAATCAGTTGTTGTATAATCACTCTGAATAAATAATTTGAATCAGTGAATCATTTATTGAAGACTCACTCTGAATGAATAATCTGAATCAGTGAATCAGTTATTGTAGACTCTGAATGAATAATTTGAATCAGTGAATCAGTTATTGTAGACTCTGAATGAATAATTTGAATCAGTGAATTAGTATTTGTAGACTCTCTCTAAATGTAAAATTTGAATCATTGAATCAGTTATTGTATAATCACTCTGAATAAATCATTTGAATCAGTGAATCAGTTATTGTAGACTCTGAATAAATCATTTGAATCACTGAATCAGTTATTGTAGACTCACTCTAAATGAATAATTCGAATCAGTGAATCAGTTGTTGTAGATTCACTCTAAATGAATAATCTGAATTAGTGAATAAATTATTGTAAATTCATTCTAAATTAACAGTTTGGATCAGTGAATCAGTTATTGTAGATTCACTCTAAATTAATAATTTAGAGTGAATCTTTTTAATATAATATAATATTAATATAATAATTTAAAGCTTACAACCACCTGAATAAATGACAAGGAAAAATTTGCATTTGTGCATGAACTATCCCTTTAAATCTTTATAAACCTTTCTAAAGTAACTGTAATCGTATGTAATCATATGCAAGTTGCTTATACACGATTATTGGAAATAAAAATACCATCTGTGACCAAGTTGGCAATAATTGCAACCATAAAAACACATGCATTTAAAGTCAGCCCTCAATGTAGTGGTTAGTTAACACGGTTTGCATTATGGGTGTGACTTTTGTGCAGGAAACATATGGACCCACTGACATGAGAGACAAAACACAGGCACGCACACACACACACATACACACACAAAACACAAACAGACTCACAATCAACACAAACTGATCAGTCTGAGCTGATGCAGAAACACTGGCACTTTTCTTCCTCTCCTTCTATCTGTTCTCGTCTGTTTCTTTATTATCTGACCTCATTCAGAAAGTGCAACGGCTCTCAGTGAGTCACTATGAACTCTGTCTTTCTGACTCACAGGACTATAAAACCACAGACTGCCAACAACCTCACACTTAAGGGTATTTTTGTCCTTCCTTTTCCATTTACTTTCCTCTCAAAAAGCTTTCAAACATCCTACAAAGCAGGGCTGCTCAAAATATATATCGCTTCAGCATCGATATCGCAATATGATCATTCGCAAAACACTGCTGAGTTCCAAAATCCATTTGTGTTGGGAAAACATGAAGGAATTAAGTGAACTCATTAGCTTTTACAAATTTAAGTGAGTTCAACAAAACAGGGTGGCTCAGTGGTTAGCACTGTCGCCTTACAGCAAGAAGGTTGCTGGTTCGAGTCTCGGCTGGGTCAGTTGGCATTTTAGTGTGGAGTTTGCATGTTCTCCCCGTGTTGGCGTGGGTTTCTTCCGAGTTCTCCGGTTTCTCCCCCAGTTCAAACACATGCACTATAGGGGAATTGATGAACTAAATTGGCCGTAGTGTATGAGTGTGTGTGTGTGTTTGTGTGAATGAGTGTGTATGGGTGTTTCCCAGTACTAGGTTGCAGCTGGAAGGGCATACGCTGTGTAAAACACATGCTGAAATAGTTGTCGGTTCAATCTGCTGTGTCAACCCCTGATAAATAAGGGACTAAGCTGAAGTAAAATGAATCCATTGATGTGAAAAATAATGTGTTTTTGAACCACAATGGATGTCAGCATCTTCTAGAACCCCTAAACAAAAACTAAACTTCATGAAAGCCTTTAAGTTTGAGTCTATTACAAGACAACCCTGAGTCTATACTGTTGTCTTATAAAAAAATCACATTAATGTCTGTCATTGTACCTCTCCAGTAAATGCATCCTGGTTTATTAATGACGTTGACATGTTTGCATTTAGCAATCATAAAAATGGAGAGCAAGAAAATTTGGTAACCCTTTAGTTTAGGGCACAGCTCATGGTATTAACAAATCATTAACTAACACTACTACCTTAATAAATGACTAATTAGCTGCTTATTAATAGTTAGTAAGGTAGAAGTTGGGTTTAGATTTTAGGTAGAATTAGGGAAGCAGAGTAAGATCATACTTTATACCCACTAATGAACAGTTAATAACTTAAAGGGCCATGACACCCCCCACTTTTGAGTCAGGTAAAAGAGCATAGAATCACCAAGAGGCGAAACTCAAGTGTAATTTGGGAAACAGCCACTAGAGGGTGCGGCAGCTGTTTTGGTGGCGGCCAAAACTCTAATAGAACAACAGCATATAATAAGTCTGTAAAATAAACTATTAAAAGTGCTGATGATTGTGATAATAAGTGTTGTATTGTCGTCTTTCAGGTTGTATCTCAACTTTAATGCGCTTTTTAAATAAATAAATAAAAAACAAAGCAGCTGCTTGCCGTCGCAACAGTAATGAGATCCAATGGACGGCTGATCACTTTCACTCCAAAATGGCGGAATCCAGGGCTGTTGCTGGGCGCTGCTGTTGCAATGAAACGTTCTATTGAGTGTCACCTCTTGGTCATTCTAAGCTCTTTGGTTCAGGTCCACCTCAGAATTTTTTCAAAAGATGCATCATAGTGGGCGTGGAGCTCCACGAGCAAAGGGCAGGAGTGGGCGTGGCCAGCAGAACAGGGGAGAAGGAGGGGAGCGAACAGCTGTTGTCAGTCAGCTCACAAAATGAGACACAAACCATGCGGAGACCCATGATTTCATACTTTACAAAGTTAAAATGTAAAGAAATAAACAGTCATTTAATGCCCTGCTACATTTGTAATTTCTTATACACATAAAAAACAATTTATTCATTCATTCATTCATTTTCTTGTCGGCTTAGTCCCTTTATTAATCTGGGGTTGTCACAGTGGAATGAACCACCAACTTATCCAGCAAGTTTTTATGCAGCGGATGCTCTTCCAGCCGCAACCTATCTCTGGAAAAAAACACGATTTATATCATTATAAAGAAAATTGTGTTCATAAAAACACTATAAATGAGGACTTCTCCCTCAATCTCCGGGTCTGAATGCAGACTCAGTGCAGCAGGTCTCCTGCCCAGTCTATTTTAACCATTAGCCCTGCTGGTAATCTGGAGGATTTAGGCGAACGCAGCAGCACGGAGATGTGTCTAAATGTGAACAAACTCCTGATAAAAGACGACGTCAGCCATTCTTCAATTCTCATACTGCTCTCACGCCAAATGCTTGCAGCACACAAACAGCTTTGCTGTATGATCGGTCCTGACAGCATCACGGGGAAAAACACGCAACAAACCCCGTGAACCATGAAAACAAACACATACAACCATTCATGAACGGCTAAATACTGTGTGCCGTGGATCCACGAACGCGTCTCACCCAGTCATCAACGTAGGATTTCACAGCTGAGCTTGGCACTGGGCAGCCAGGTCTACTTTGTCTTCAGAAAGCACGTGTCCTGATGAATAATTAAGCAGCCGGCTCTTCTCATAGGATAAGAAAACTCGGCTATGAATAATAATGAGAAACCGACGTGTCATCTTTGCACTTGCAGTTCTGCGCCAAGTCGCCGATTTTGATCCCTCCTAAAAAATCATTTTAAACCCGGAAGCTGAAATTAGCTGACAAAAGCTCAAAATTATCCAGTTTTCCCCACAATTAAAGCTGACACCCTCTTAACTGATGCTCAACACACACAAATCTGATAAAATCTCAAAAAAGGTACTCAAGGGTTTCATGAACCTTTAATAATAGGCAGGTAATAAGCCAGCAGTTGATAGTATGAATTGTGACCGAAACTCAAATTTTACTGAAAATTTAGATTTTATACATCTCAAATAAAAGCCCAATTTTTACAACAAATAAAGCATAAAATGTATTAGATTTAGACTAAAACAGGTGTGAGGATATTTCAAAGGAATAAAACAAAATCACATTTACTGTACACTGAAAAAACGATTCATTGGATTTACTCAATTTGTTTAAGGTAAGTGGCTGCAAACAATTTATATGGGCTTAATTTAAACAAATTAAGTTGAACATGACTACATTTTACTACAGATCAGTGTATGTCCAAAATATATCCTCTAAAAGACAAGTCAATAAATAAGCAAACGAATTTTGTCACTTAATGTTGTTTTAAGCCGAAAAAG